GATTAAAATAATTCAGTAAAATATTAAACTTACATCAACGTAGCTAGCATTAATGTATTCTCTTTGGCACATATCCAAGTTAGGATTAGTAGCCAGTATTATCCTATTATCATCATCTGATAATAAAGTAATCACATTACTATTAACTATACATTTGCATACAAACTGTGATATTTTTAAATCTGTTAAAAGGGCTGTTCTCCTCACTGTATCCAACAGTACATGGCTTTTCCTCTCCACTCTTGAGGCTCTATTATAATCATCAGTAATAATGTACAAGTATGAATTATTTACTGTGTATTGGCTTTCAAATCCATTGCTATGACAACTGGTTACATGTGTATTCAGATCCTCCAGTGATATAGGTAGAGTGAGAGGAATCTGTGGATCAAAATTACAACCAGACAGAAGAGCAGTCTCTATGTCAGTGTATGTTGGTTCATAAACAGATGGAATTGGTGCTTCTTGTATTGCTGCATAATCTAAAATTATAATCAAAATTATTCATTCCATTGATCTCTACTTGACTCTTCTTTATTTATTTCACAATATTTGTCTTCATCATTCTTGGTTAGGCTCTCATTATCTATAATAATTAGTAATAGTTTTAATGATACATCATAACCACCTTGTATTTCTGACATAGCTATGTTAACATTGTATTTGCTAATTTTCAGTGACTTCTTTCTTCTGTTAAAAAACTAATAATGAATAATTTTGACAGTCATAGATTTTACTTTATGAAAGCTATAATTATAACAATCAACACTATCAATAGTGCTATCATTATTACAGCAATCCCTGAGCCTCCAACAGTAACAATGAATGAAGTATCTGTAATCATAATTATTGTATAAATCTTCATACAAAATAAAAGACTTACTTTCAGGCTTCATAGTAGCAGCCACTGTTTTAAAAATAAGTGAGGTTTATGAATTATGGGGACTATACTCATACCTGATGTTTGTATTACTGATGATGATAAAGACTTTAGAGTAGATGATGGTGATATTACTGTAGAAAATAACTGTTTTGTGGATGACGATGATGCTATTGTAAATAATGATATTTGTGCAGATGATGGTGATATTAGTATAGATGATGGTTTTATCATGGATAAAGGTGATATTAGCATAGATGATGATTCTGTTAGTAGTTCTAGAGTCTCATTAGTTATAACTGTCCATGCCCCGTATCCATTATCAGAATATGCACGTATACCAAAAATGTAACAGGTATTACTATTCAGACCAGTGATGATAGTAAAAGTATCGTTACTAGATACATTAGATAGATTCAGTATTTCAGGAGTAATGTCATCATCATATGCCATTGAACAGTTACCAGACTCTAAGGCATGATATCCTATCTCATATGTGATGATGGGATAGTCTGATGGAATATAAATAGGTTTACTCCATGAGATAACAGCCCATGTAGTGTCCACGATACTGGATACTGAACCAACTGGGCTAGGTACTAAATAAAGAAACAGATTCTCACAAAATAATTTAAAACATGCATACCCATTCCAATCTCTACAATTATAGGATCACTGAAAGGACCTCTTCCAGCAGAGTTTACAGCAGCTACACTAATATTATACTTAGTACCAAATGCTAGATCATTCAATATGATATATCTCTCAGTACTGGTGAGGTTGTATGTGATACTGCTGTTACTGATCATCACTGTATAGCCTGTGATTAGACCATCATGTTTAGAACAATTGACCTCATTCCAAGTGAGATTATTAATTGGTTGTAATAAAGACAAAGAAGTAGATACACCAGTAGGAGCTATAAATATAACATTACATAATAGTTGAAGATTGTACCAAACCTGTTGGCATTGTATCTTTTTTAATTGAGCTAGGATCAGATCCTCCTAATACATTACCAGCTCTCACTGTGATGGTATAGTTCATACCACTGTACAGACCTATTAATGTATAACTGTATGTTGTAGTGGACTGATGAGGAACAACAGAAACTGTCTCATTCACTGATGATAACTGGGGACAAGATGGAGTATAGGAGATGGTGTAGTATGTTACATAATTGTCACTACTAGGAATAGTCCAGTTCACTGTAATACATGTGGTTGAGACATTAGATACTGAGAGACTAGTTACTGGACTAGGAACTAGAACAGACATCAATTATACTCTCTCAATGATAATAACTCACCATCAAATCTTAACACTGTTACTGTACTATTAACTGAAGGAAGATCTATATATGAGTACACACTGATGGTATAGGTACTCATTAGTAAGAGATCTGTTAGTACAATTTCATTTTTACTTGTAGATACTACATTCCTTGTTACACTTTCAGTAGTATACTCAATCACATATCTAATAACCTCTGATGAATTGGTCCAGTTCACTTTAATACTAGTTGCATTTAATATAAACCCTTTCACATTATTTGGAGGACCATTAGGAGCTGAAAATATACAGAGCAATATTGATTAAAGTATAATCAATTATTCATACCATGTAATGTCACAGATTGACTGTAGTTGACTCCTCCAATCATTGCTGTACAGGTAACAGTGACTGACACTCCCAGTGGATCAGGATATACCAGTAGTGTGTTATTGTATGTCAGGACATCAATTGATGTATACATTGAGTTACTCTTCATCACTCCATTCACTAACCAGTAAACATCAGTTGATGGATTTATATCAGTAGTTGTGATACAAGTGATACGATATTGAGTGCTATTGAGTTGTGTAATGGATGAGACTAGTGTCCAATTGATTGAATTAATAACTATAGAATTGCATCAATAATGTTACAAGTACATTAAATGCAGCAGCAATACCTGGTGAGGTCTGTACTTTGATTGTACTAGCAGGTCCCAGTAATTGCTGATATGCTCTAACTGTGATGTTATAAGTTGTTAGTTCTCTCAGTCCATTCAGTGTGATTGCATTAGTATTACTTCCCTTCACCTGTACTGTCTGCACAGTGTCTGTGTCACTAGTGACATTGACTACATATCCATCAGCATCAGATGAATCAAGTGCAGTCCAACTGACATTGATAGTGGTAGCTGTCTTGCTGACCACAGTAAAAGAAGAGGGAGCATTTGCTGGTACTAACATAGAAAAATTTAATAATAATAATTGGTAACACTAAGTTTTAGAGTTTATAAGCATTACCTGTTACAGTTAAACTACGTGTTCTAGTTCTTTGATCAGTAACTTGCACTACACACTGATACATTTGATCTCCAGTGGTTGATTGACTGATTGATCCACTACTGACATTCATTCCATCCCATGTGATAGTAACAGTATATCTTACTGTGTTTTCAACAACACCACTTAAATCAGTACCAGGACAAGGGTTATTATTATTGTCATCACAATTGGTATAACTAGCCAGTGCAGTATTATTAATGCTCATGCTAATATCATAGCGATTGAATCCAATTTTAATACAATTCAGTTTGTATTCCTGAGGATATACTGTCATATCAGAAGGAAGATCAGCAACAGTAAATGATTCTATCTGTGCAAAGTCTACAAATGAAAAATATTACATCAGTAAGTGATTATAGTCTCCTCTTACTGAATATATTAGCAACGATGATGCTAGTGTTAGAATCTGAACAATCAGTGGGTAGACAACACTTGTACCAGCCATCACCATCAGATGACTGGAGATGGTTTGGTATTTGAACACTGAGATTAGCTCCTGAGGACCCAGGGGTACATTGAACATTTTGCTTGTTACCAGGACAAGGAACTTCTCCATCAGGTCCAATCCATTGTCCATCATCAAGATTAGCACCAGGTAATCCACACTCTAATGGCTTACCTCTGATGGTGTTATCTGAAAAAAATGATCCATTGGGATAACATTTTTCATTATACCTCAGGTAGATACCTATAAAAACCTATACAGTTGCTATTATACACATCCAGTGTCTTACCTGAGGAAGGTGGACATTGGCTAATAACTTCACTGACACTCAACAAGAATACAGCACTCACAAAAACTAGTCCTGACACTGTCATTTTGTCTACAACTGATAAATGTAAACGTTTTTCTGTCTACTAAAACAAAAAATAGCAATATCATCGGTAGCCCATTAACAAAGTAAATATTACATAAGAAAAATAAATATATAATAAGTATGTTATAAAAACAAGACATGGTTACACAATAGGAATGTAAATTAAACACTCTATGTGAC